CTGCATTTTACTTCTTCATGAACTCCCACTCTGACCTCATCTTGCAATACAGCACTTTATATCCTCTCAGCTTCAACACTGACTTCAACAATTTCATATTGAAAAACCACGGCTCCGAGATCATCAGCAGCTGTTGATATTGTTTCACAAATTGCTATTTACACTTTCTCTCGAACCATCTTTTATTTCTTTACTTACTTTGTTACCACCCACTTTTTGCCCCGTGAATACCAATTAAAATCTCCGAGTTTCACACTATACAGACCTTCCATGATGTTCTTCCCTTTCCCTGCCTCCATGCTTGATTCAAACCTGTTCTAGCGCTATGTTTTTTACAGTTCTGAGGAAAGGCCACGAACTTTTATTGTTTTAAATCAGATTCCAGCATGCACAGTATTTTACTTTACAGCAAGGAAATCTGTGTCTGGAGTCTGCAGGAAATTCAAGGGAACAATGGTAGCATGGAATTATGCAAGGTGATAAATGTAGAATTGAGATAGCTTGATGAGTTTGCCATTTTACTGACATTTACTGACGATTAGCTCAATCAGAAATAAAAGGGGTACATGGAGCAATTAATCGAACTCAACCATCTCCACCTCAGCCCCATTGATACAGACAGGGGTGTGCCCTCCGCTCCACTTCCTGAAGTTAATGACCACCTCCTTCACTTTGCTGACATTGATGGAGAGATTGTTGTCTTTACTCCATGCCTCCATTGCTAAATGTGATCAATGGATGTTAACCTCAGCTACATACAAGCAACACGACACCTTCCAATTTCCATCTCCTGGTCTGGAGATGGTAGACACCAGTAGAGTAGGGGAGGAATATGAAACAAAGCCTGGATGACATCCCAGCTGAAATCTTCAATGTCAGTGCACTTTTCTTCCTATCAAGACTCATTGCATTCATCCTGCAGTCTGGGAGGAAAAGGAAGAGCTGTTGAGAAGGAAAGAAAAGAAACAATTTTGGCACTTTTGATGCCTTATGGTTCTCCTGCACCACACACTCAAAGACCTGGGTCAGGTGTCAACCCAATCAGTCACATGAAGACCATTGCAGAGACTCACAATACTGAGTTAACATCATCTTCAAATTGAGACAATCGATGACTGTGTACACTTTTTGTGTTTGCAGCATACAGAGTGTTATACTTATCCACAACAAAACTGTTTTACGGGATCACAACAGCAATGCCGAAAATCCCCTGTATCTAAAGTTAAACTTATTGATCCTATAATTCCAGTTAAGGATTCATGCTTGGAGTATAGTTAAGCCAAGGCAACAACACTACAGAATTGTGACTCAGTCTCCAACTGACAGATTAATAAATTTTACCTTCAATTTGTGATCTTCTCATAAAGGATTTTCAAGAGCTTTTCTTGATCCAATCAAAACGTAAACAAAATTATTTCTGGATTATCTGGCCTCCCTCCTATATGAAGGATGTTGTGAAACTTGAAAGGGTTCAGGAAAGATTTACAAGGATGTTGCCAAGGTTGGAGCGTGCGAACCATAGGGAGAGGATGAATAGGCTGGGGCTATTTTCCCTGGAGCGTCAGAGGCTGAGGGGTGAGGTTCATAAGATCACAAGGAGCATGATAGAGTGGATAGCCAAGGTCTTTTTGCCAGGGTAGGGGAGTCCAAAACTAGAGACCATAGGTTGGAGGTGAAAGGGGCAAGATTTAAAAGGGACCTAAGGGGCAACTTTTTCTCGCAGATGGTGGTGCTCGTCTGGAACAAGCTGCCAGAGGAAGTTGTGGAGGCTGGTACAATAACAACATTTAAAGGCATCTGGATGGATACATGAATAAGAAGGATTTAGAGGAATATGGCCAAATGCTGGCAAGTAGGACTAGATTAATTTAAGATTTCTGGTCGGCATGGACTAGTTAGACCGAAGGATCTGTCTCCTCAGTATACAGCTCTATGACTCTATGGCTCATAGCAGAAGAAATTTAACAGTTTGCAATAAGATCACTGGAACAAACTATCCCTTGATTCAGAGAAGTGGGGGGTGTCTGGTTTAATATTTGTAATAATTGTGATTGCTCTCACAGGCATAGCCTATTATACATTGCGAAATTGCGAGCCATCAGAAACAGTGTGAGACAGTTGTGGTCTCTCCATATTCCCTTTAGCATAGTGGGGGATCCATCATTCCCCAACATTTGTAGATCAACGACTAGCTCTTAAATTGGTATTTTTAGCTGCCCTTCTCTCCAATGATTATTTTGTATTTATCAGTGCAGTAACTGTCATCTTCAGGAGTACACTGCTCAGACCTTTGCCTGAAACTGTGGCTGAATTAGATTTATCGAAATTTGAATATTATTAAACATATAAAATTAGTGCCATTAAAGGGTACAACCACAGATCTATGGGAATAATCCTTATATAACAACTCCGAAGTCCCTGTATCTGTTTTGCAAATTAATCTAGATAGACAAATTCTTTCAAGTCGTCTTGTATTCATAAAATCTTATGGAACTGTTTTGTGCTGATATTTTTAGGCATTTGTACCTTTTGAAATAAAGTTATAACTCAAACTAAATAGAGCTGCTTCCTAACAATCAATTCAATTCAAGTTTGGGTTTTCTTTTTGAAGAATTACTGACACTGGAATAGGGCCATATTAGAGAGTAAGGATCAGCCCTCAATCTTCATGAAGCTAGGCTGAGTTGAGAGGTCTTTAAAAAATAGTGGGCAGGACCCATTTCTGGGAGTTCCACCCCATTCCCATTTCTGGCGACTTTTACCAGTGTGGGTTACAGGTGTACATTAGTTCTGTACATGGTGGATACTGGGAGAATGGCTGATGAGGATTTCTAAGAAGCATTAAAAGTGCCTGGGATTTTGAGGGGGTTTCAAAGGAGCAAGGAATCACACAGGGGAAATGGAAGACTTGGAAGGTTCGTGAGAGCTATGATGACCATGAAGGGTTTGTAGGAGATTAGGAGGCATGAGAGGCCCTGAGAAATATTGTAACATAGAGAGGGCATGGGCATGTAGAGGGAATGGAAGAAGTAGAAATTATGGAGGGGCCAGGGACAGGTGATGTGGACAGGGCATGGGGTTATGGTGGTTGTATGGGATGTGAGGGGAATAAAGGCTTGAGGATCTAACAGTCAGGATTAAAAGTGGGTCATTGCCCTAATAATCAGAACTGGGTCTGTGTTCTAGCTTGTCAGTCTTACCATGCACCTTCCTCCATCACTACCTTGAACTTCCCTCCAGAGGTAACCCAGCTAACTCCATCCTGTCTCCACATCCAAGGAACAAAAATATTGTGGTTGGGGTTTCCTTAACAGAGATGGGTTTGCAGTGTCATAATCTTTCGCGACTGGTGCTTCTCAACTCCTTCACATAACCCAGTCCACAGTATCTTTGGTTTGGTGACTGACAATAAGTCAGGGTTAGAAAATACTAACTGTGTGAAATTAAGTCCTGCCCTATTTTCAAAAAGCAACTCTTGATGCCATCATCCTTGCAAACCACCATCCCATTTCCAACCACCTTTTCCTTTCAAAAAGCCTTTGTTGCCTTCCAATCCACTCCTATCCTTCCTGAACCCAAGGTTTAAATCTCTCCAGTTAGGTTTATGCCCTTGCCAAAGCCCTGAAAATGGTCTGATCAAAGTCACAGATAGTCACTGTAACAAAGGTAAACATTCTGTCCTCATCCTTCTCGGTCCTATAACATTGGCCACACTATCCTCCCCCAAATCCACCCCCTCTGTTGTCCAGCCTTCATTACTCTCACTTGATCCCTTTCTTATCAATGTCACCATAACCAGAATATTCATTGTGATAGCTTCTCATGTCACTCCACCATGACCTCTGATGATCCCAAGAATCTATCCTTGGTCTCGTCCTATCTCTCATCTACATGCTGCCCCTTAGGAAAATCATTAGGAGATAATGCTGTAGTTTTCACATACATCAATGACACCGATTTCTATCCCCCCACGGCATCTCTCAGTGCTGCACTACTGCTGAACTTTCAGCTTGTTTATCTGACACCCTGTACTGCATGAACACAGCTTTTCTCTGAGTAAATATTGGAAAGACTGAACTCATTGTTTTCAGCTCCTGCTCAAATCTCCGTTCCATAATTATTGACTCCATCACTTTTCCCAGCGACAACCTCAAGTCCAAACAGTCTGTTCACAACTCTGATGTAATATTTGATCCCGAGATGAACATCTGACCTCACAATCATGTCATCACTTATTCCCAACCTGGTAACATTATCCAACCTTACCCTGTCTCAGTAAATCAGCTGTAGAATTTCTCATTCATGCTTTCATTACCTCCAGACTTGACTATTTCAACAAATTCTCAGCTACTCTCCCACGTTCTGTACTCTTTAGAAAATTAGGGTCATCCAACCTCTGTTGCTCGTATCTTAAAAACAGCAACTCCTATTTACCTTTCTGCGCTCATTGACCTTCATTAGTACCCGGCCAAGCACTGTTTTAATTTTAAAAAATAATTTATTATTTTCAAATCTCTTCATGGCCTTACCCCTTTCTATCTCTGTAATTTCCTCCAGCCCAACAGCCCTCCAAGATATCTGCATTCCTTTAATTCTGGTCTGTTGTTTGCCCCAGTTTTTATTGTTCCACCAGGGATGACCATGTTTTCAATTGTCAAGGCCTCAAGCCCTGGAGTAACTTCCCTACACCTCTCTGCCCCTCCACCTCACTTTTCACCTTTAACATTTCCTTTAAAACTAGTCATTGACCAAGCCTTTGGTCACCTGACCCAATATCACCTGATGTGACTCAGAGTTATACTTTGTTTTATAATGTTCCTGTGAAGCTCCTTACACTGTTTCATTATGTTAAATGTGTCATATAAATAGAAGCTTTTGTTGTTGTTTGCTTATACATAAATTAATGATTGAAGGGAGAAAGTTGCAAGCCTTTGCCTGTACTGTATTTAATAGACACTGCATTTAATAAATAACCTTTCTCTGTCTTTATTTTTATGTAGACCTGTGTCTCCATTGAGATAAAATACCAGGCTATGGACGGGACTGTTGGAGTCTGGAATGACAGTGAATTCTTAGAAAATCTGAACCAAAAAGCAACGCATGAGGCAACCTTTCACTTTGAGACAGACAGTTTACTCTCTGGCCAGAGTCAGGGATCAGGAACTTCTCCAGGTCGATCCCACCAATGTCTCTTAGGAGAAAGGAAAAAGTAAGTAAACTATCTCTCTTTGTAAGAACAGGGATCATACCTCTGGCATTGCATAATAGCCCAAAGGAAAGCTCATTATTTAGTGTTATGTTTCATTGTGAAGAATCCATATTAGTTTTGACGGATTTGCCAGTGCTGGAAGTGACATGTAACAGTACACAGGGCTATGTTCTTTGCAGATAGAAATGCACACTCATTTCACCTGTTTCAACCAAACAAAATAATGGTAGTCATTTGCTGGTTCATTCTCATGGCAATGCCCTGACCAATCAGAATGAACCTTGCTTGTTTAGAATTTAAACGAATCCTGGCTGTTAACTGTCAATCAACATTAATGGGTGCATTCTCGATGCCAATGCCTCTACCAGCCAAAGTCCACTTGACAACCAATCAGCACTCTCCTCTCATGCAACATTCCCCTTGAATTGGTATTTCTTGAAAATAGTCCTGATGAGTACAAGACAAAAAGCTTCAACAAAGTGTGATTATTTTCAAAATAATATCATAAATAGCATTTCCAAAAAGAATAGTACGTTAGGTGATCTTGTTTCCATTTGTTTTCTTCTTTCTTCATGTCACAAGTGAAAGATGAAGAATGATTTATTGAACAACACTGTTGCTATAGTTGTGCTTGAATAATTAATTGCTCATGTAAGAAGATCCAAAATCACAGGGAAATCTTTACCAAACAATTTCAAGCATAGTAAGGGTCCCTTCTGGAGCTGCAAACCTTCTTTTCAGTAATTTTGTTCTGTTTCCAAAAGAGTTTAACAGCTATCATCGCTGTAACTTCCTGACATAACAGCTGACAACCCTTTGTTGTTTCTTGCAGAAGATTGACATGTTATTTATGGATTTCATTTAAGGCAGATATTGGGACTGATTTTCATACAGAGGTCTAACTCAAAAATCTCAGCTAAATGGAATATGTCAATAAAATTCAACTTTTCAGGAGTCAGCTCACTCTTGCAATTATTCGCTACCCCTAGGACAGATAGAGTCAACTGGCTGAGGGACCAGAGTATTATAACTGTGAAATTTAAAGGAATGCAGGTTGTTAACAGGAAGTCAGTCTGTGGAAGGCATTTTCTAAAAGAAAAGGTGCTTCATCTGGTTCTAAGCCTTGGGCAAAGTGGAATATGAGTGTGAGGAAAGGGAGAGGTGATGGCGGGGACGAGTGTGATAGATAGATAGAAACTAATGGGATAAAAAAAACAGGTAGGTAATTGTAACTTTGACAATGATGGTAAGCTGATAATATCAGATCAGAAGCCTCTCTCACACCCCTACATTGAAACAGGCCTAAATACTTAGCCCACATTGAAACTGCGATATTTCAAGCAACATTAATAAAGTTTTTCAATCTTGATGTCTGGCTGTGAGTCACTGCATCAGATCATAAGAGTACAAAGGAGAAGACCAGAATTAGATCTTTTGGCCCATCATGTCTGCTGCACCTTTCATTCATGGCTGATATGTAACTCAACCCCATTCTCGTGCCTCCCTCCCCATAGCCCCTTGATCCCTTTACCAATCAAGACTCAATCTATCTCTGTCTTAAATAAATTCAGTGACTTGGCCTAGATAGGCATCTGCAGCAATTAGTTCTACAGATTGCATAATTGGAGAATGCCCCAGCTGGAAACCTCACTTTGCTGAATTTGCTAATTTACGTCAGGAAGTTGGTCAATTACAATTGACTCAGTACTCCAGGTATGCGATGAAAGAAGATCCTTATTTCATAATGAGTTCTATCCAGTTACCCTGGCTGGACAATGGGTGGAGATTGGGTGAGAACCAAAACGGACTGTTTCGAGATGTCTCATGTAAGAATAAACTCGGTGCATTCAGAGGCCAGGCTGGTCCACATGAAAAGTGATTGATTGCTCACGGTACTGGAGTATGATTGATCGATGGGGAAAGAGATTCCAACATAAATCAACAACATGAGATGAGAGAAAAATGTTGGAGGGAAAAACAAAACGCAGACATTCTTTTGCATGTTTTTGCTGGATTTATCAAATTAGTAGTGCTTAAACAATAATATCAGCAGGAAAACAGTGCTGGTGTTTGATGGATTTCATGAAACCAACAGTGGGAGCGATCTAAGTGAGCATCAAAGGAAATAATCATTAAACTGAATGCTTCACTAATTACATTATGTTATTCTAGGTTCCTCACATCATTTTGTTTTGTAATTCCTCCAAGCCACTTTTTGTTGATATCATCAGCTTTCGCTATATATTTTTAAAGCGATGTGCTCTTCATTTTCTTTTATAACTCCAAATCTTACACGTTGTATGCATTTGAAAACTGATCCTTAGATTCTCTACAGATTTTATTTTCTGTTTCACCTTAAGTTTCACTACTTTAAACTGGACTCACTGAAACTAAACTGTTGAGTACCTAAGACAGGACATAAAATATATGCAGTCAAACTGAATTGCTAGATAGTTAATTGCTTTGCTTATCATGCGTGTAGATCCCTCTGCACTTCTATTGAGTATTTTAATTATTAAGGGAGTAGTGTGTAAATTATTGCATTTTACATTATATTCTTTCCAGCATTAGCTTGAATTCAGTTAGGGTTATTTTTCCTCCACTGCATTACTTAACTTCACATAAAGTTGTTTTGTATTTCATTCTAATATGTTGAAAATACATGGCTTAATGACTGCATTGAAACAATGTTCAGTGGAATTTTACGTGAATTTCCTCTCCTGCTCAGAATGGTTCCACTCACTGTGCATGTTCAGGCCACAACTCTTCAATATGCATTTATGGCCCCCATGATGTCCAGAGCACATTAACTCCTACTGAGAATATTGGGTAAAGATGCCACCAATGACTTGCACTGATGTTGGACAAAAAATCAGATTTTCTGCCTCTACCAACCTTAAAGGTAGTGAGTTCCAGTGTCAATTGTCAGGGTGGTTCTCATGTGGAATCAACTTCCTGAGGAAGTGGTGGATGCGGGTACAGTTACAATGTTTAAAAGACTCTTAGATAAGTACATGAATAGGAAAGGTTTGGAGGGATATGGGTCAGGAGCAGACAGGTGGATCCCGTTTAGTTTGGAATTATGTTCGGCACGGACAGGTTGGACCGAAGGGTCCGTTTCTGTGCTGTATGACTCCATGACTCTGAATGTATGCAACAAATCACACCATTCAAAATCTAAAAACATCGTTCCACCATCGAAATGTCGATCTATTTAATTTTTCTTCAGAATGCTAGCAACAGTTGCAAGGTCAAGTCCACTTCCATCTGATAGTGTTAAGGTTAACCGTTAGCCTATCACAAGTGGAGATGAACCTTGAGCTGTTGCTGTCTTTTTGGTGACTGTGTTTGCAAATGATCTGCAACAGGATTGAGGGCTCGAGCCTTTATTCAGGGAACAAGAGATGGATAATAAATGCTTGCCAATGCTTCTCATAGCCATGTCAAGTTAAATTTAAAAGATCAGAAACGTTCTGATGTTGAGGTTATGTTGATGGTTTAGTGACTGTTCTTTGCATGATGATTGTCTATAATTTCTTTCTATACTATTATATTGACTAATGGGTTTACAGCCACACACACATGCACACACACGCGCACACACATGTACACACATACACACACTCACACATGCACACACATGCACACACACGCACTCACACACATGTGCGCTACCATCTCCATGAACATATTTGAAGGTGAGGGGAGGGGTATGGAAATAAAGTGAGTGGTCATCCCACTGCCTTCCTGTGACCTCCCCCTGCCCCGAACCTTTCTCCCAAAACCCAGGGTGGGCAAGGCATTGGGCAGCTTGCCTACCTTTCAGTTCATTGAAGCCCTTACCTGAATGACTGACTGCACTTATTTTTTATCTGACTGGGGAAAAGGCAGTTTTCACTCCTGTTGCTGGGCATGAAGGGGAGGGTCCCCCTTGTTGGGGAGACAGAGTTGGGGAAGGGGGTGCCCACTATTCCCATCAGGGACAATCACACCCCCAGGATCATAACTTTAAGCCACCCTACAGTCTGTAGAACATTGTGCCCCATACCCCTACCTCCTTCCCTTTCTCGTTGGGGTTCACCAGACAGGTCTGTCCAAAATCTCTGGACTTTCCTGAGCTCCAGAATCAATGTCACCTCATTTTCAGGGACTCCTGGTCACCCAAATCTCACTGGTAAGTGATTACAGTCTATCCCCAGTGTTTATCCATGGCAAGGCAGCTGGGTGCACTGCCAATGACCCTTTCAGCTGGCGGGGGAGATTAGCAAGTTCTCCATTCCCCCATAAACTCTACCCCAAGCATACAGCTTCTCACACTGACACATGTTCATACACTTTACCCACTTGTATTTGCTTACACATCGGGCACTGACGTACACACATACACACACACCTCTGACATGATGTTCCTTGGGAAGGCTGAGGTCAGGAAATTACTCCCTAACCTCTTTGTCAGATCTGGCCTGTTGCCATGTGTTCTTCCAAATCCAAATTCCTCCTCCCCCACCCCACCCCACCCCCACCCCCATCCCCCTCTCCCTATCGCACCATTTTATCTTCCTTATTGTCACTTCAGCAATTATGCCCCTCAAAGGAGCTGTTAACCATTGTACCCCTATCTGGGAGCAAATAGTTTATGCAGAGTCCTAGAAATAAGAGTAAAATCCTTCAACATTTGCCATACAGGAAGTTTTACCTTTCATTCAAAAACCACAGTGCTGCCAGTAAAATAAGAACTTGTGTTAAGACTACTTTGGTGTTTGTGTTTTGTGAAAGATTAAGCGAGCTCAGGCACAAAGGAAGTTATAAATATTTTCTGCATATCATTAAAGTCGAACTTGCTTCAACGTCTTGAAAAATGAAGGGATAAAAGTTTATCTTGCATGTTAATACTAAGGGGATCTTGGCTAGTAGGCTGCCTTTTATACCCTGCTTTACGTTCGGTTCAATTCAAACCAATGTACTTAATTACTGGACAGAGTGTCTGGAACATGCCAACA